ATTGATAACTGATAAAAAATGAACTTAAAAATAAAAAATGTGATATAAAATATGTGTAATTAAATGTCCCTAATATTTGAAAATCAATTTTCCTTTTAAAGTTAGAATCTGGTATGGGTTTCTAAGGGAAATGATTTTAGAAATAAATTCTTCAGCAATTTTATCCTCCAGAAAAAAAATAAGGCAGTATGACATTTTAATTTAACTGATATATCTAACAGTCTTAAAGAACTACTTCTCTTTCTGTTGCCTTCATGTAACTACATGAGGGCAAGGATAACTAAGATTGTAATACTTATAAATTTTACCCATTTACTGCATTTAAACTGTATAGTTTATCTAGGGAGAAAAAATAAAACACCCCCTTAATATTTGTTTCCCATGTGTTCAGGCATATGTTCAAAGGCTACATTTATCTTATTTGAAGGAAAATTTTCAAAAATTATTCATAACGATGATTTCAAAATCATACTGAAAAACCAGGTAGGAATAAAATAATCTTAAAAAAAATTGTAAAAAATCTAAAACCATATTTTTGGTAAGTTCCATAATTCTGAGTATAAACATAATTTACATGTTAAATGTGCAATTCTTATTTACTTATTTATGACACTAATTAATGAGTAAAATATATCCAAAATTCAATAAAGAAATTCAGAAGAATACCAACTCTAATATAACTAATATTACTATCACAATTTTCAATTAAAGTTTTAATAAACTTAAATGCTTACCTAAGCTATTATTTCATAAGCTCATTACAGAACAGATTTAATTGATTTAAATAAAGTGTAATAAACTTTTGCTTGGGGCTGAGGTTGTGGCTCAGTGGTAGAGTGCTCGTCTAGCATTCATGAGGCACTGGGTTTGATCTTCAGCACCACATAAAGTAAAATAAAGATATTGTATCCACCAAAAAACCAAAACAAAAAAATATATAAAAAACTTTTGCTTTATGATAATTTTGAACATATATATCATATATCATAAATGATCACTTTGTTATATGTGCAGAATTTTTAAATAATTATAAGCGGTAAATCAATCTCCAAAAATAACACATTACTATAAAATAAACACTTCAAATAGTTTCATGTAGATTAAACGAATAGAAAAATACATTATTATCTCATATAGGCACATCACAACCAATAAAAAATAATTTCACTTCCTGGTACAAAATATTCATGTGAAGTAGTTACTTATTGATTTTATATTTTCATGATAGTGTGTACACACACACACACAGATTATTAAATGTCTTCAGGCAATTTTACTTCTATTTAAATAAATCAAAATGTGAAATTAAAAAACTCTCTAAATATCAAAGAGGATGTTAACAAATTGAAGTTATTTTCTTAGTTCAACTTAATACTAGAACGCAACAATATTGCCATCTAGTGTTTCTATCAAATAAGCACTTCCAATACAAATGAGGTCATATTTTTGCTGTTCATTTTAAAAATTAAGTGTTTAGGTTAAATATAAATTGTGATTTCCATGGGTAAGAGTATAGTTTTGACAAATGAATAAAAGGAGAAAGAATAAAAATAGAAAAATTCATCATTGGGAGTTAGTGGGAATTAAAAACAAAGCATTTAGTGAGCAATACCCTTCTTTCAGATGCGATTCTGGATACTTTCTTTTTGAAGTACTTCAAACAGAATTCTTGGTCTCATGCTTGCTAAGCAACTGCTCTACCACTAAGTTACATCTTGAGCCCCCCAACCTTTTTATTTTTGAGACAATGTTTCACTATGATCCCCAGGTTAGCTTGTGATCAAACTTGTGATCCTCTTGCCTCCACCTCTCAAGTAGCTGAGATTACAGGTGTGCATCATTACATCTGGCTTACATTTTGTTTCTGAACACAGTATATATGTTATTTGATTTTCTTGAATATATTATCAACCAAGCAACAGTAAAGGTCAACTCCATAGGGCTACTTGTATCAATTCCTGCCTACTCATTAAGCCTTCATATTCCAAATGAGAATGACCAAGATCAAGGACATAAACATATTAAATGAACATAAGGAAATCCATGTATAGCAGTGTTTTAAATATACAAACAATTTTAATTACTAAGTATTATTGACAAGAGATAAAGAATAAAAAGATCAACTTCAATTGCCAAAACTGAAAAGAATTTAACTTCATTAACTGATTAAAAAAACATTTGGGGCCACAGTGTTTTAATTATATTACTGGCATTGCTGAAACCATAAAGACTGGTGACATTGTTCATCATAGTCAAAACCCTAGAGCAGTTAGTAAATCTCTAAATGCCATTGTTTTTAAGTGCTTTATTCCACCCACCCCTCCAGAGGATAAAACTGCTGAAGAGTTCATTTCTAAAAAACCAAAATCCCAGCTGGGAACAGTGTAGCTCAGTGACTCAGGAGGCTGAGGCAGGAGACTCAATAAGTACAAGGCCAGCCTCAACAACTTGGTGAGACCAAAAATAAATAAATAAATAAAAAGTTCTGGGGATATAGCTCAGGGGTAAAGAACCCCTGGGTAAACCTCAGTACCAAAAAAAAAAAAGTTAAATCCCTACCAATCCAAGGTATAGTATATAAGGTACCAAGAGCAAAGTGTGATGGGTGGTGGGGTAGTAGTACTATGACTACTAACTCCAGTACCACCAATACAGTCACAGCTATGATGACCATCACTACTACAACAAAACCCATCCATTTCCAACCAAACTATAGTGGCAGTTCACAAATAAATCCTGTTCCATATCTGTGGTACTATTATCCTCTTTCTCAATTTCCAACTAAACTCTATACATTTGAAATATATGTCAGCTGATTTTAAATATATTATTTTCATTTTTTATTTACCTTTTTCATTTTTTAAAATACATATATTTTTTAGTTGTAGGTGGACACAATACCTTTATTTTCCTTATTTATTTTTATGTGGTGCTGAGGATCAAACTCAGGGACTTACCTGTGCTAGGCAAGTGCTCTGCCACTGAGCCACAACTCCAGTCTGTTTTTCATTTTTATACAATAAACAAGTTATCACTTAATATAAACAGACAATATTTAAATAACAAAAATCCTACTCATTCTCAAAAGCCAAGCTCCATTTTTGTATATGTGTGTGTGTGTGGTGCTGGGGATTGAACCCAGGGCCTTGTACATGCAAGGCAAGCACTCTACCAACTGAGCTATATCCCCAGCCCCACAAGCTCCACTTTTATCTTCCCTGCTTATAAGTACACTCTACCTCACTTCCTTAGGCTTCAATTCTCAAAGATATAATTGTATCGTACTGTGAAAGTCACTTAATCTGTTTGAAGATTAAAGGCTCAATTATTTATAATAAAGATCATAATATCTGCTGTGTATTTCAGAGCAGAACTAAACAACAACAACAAACTTCAGTACATATTGTATGCAAAAAGCTACTAATTGTTAAATTTTAACTAAAAACTAATTTCAGGCAAAGCATTTTTTAAAAAAATCTGAATTAAAATTTAAAAAATCATCAGCATTAAGGATCTAAATATCTATTTATGAAGCATAAAAACTGATTGGACAATCTTTCTTCAAGAACACAATAAATGCAGATATTTCCTGTAAATATTGACTTACATAAAAATTGTCTAAATTCAGTGCTGAGAAAATTGAGACTAACCTATTTAACAAAAATTTTAATTTTAATGAAGCTTTTAATGAAGAATTAAAAGCTATATCACAAAAGCTATATCACAATAGATTACAAAGTCTGACAACCATTCTGGGACCAAATTTATTCATAGTGATGAACTAAAATGTACATTATCATTTATTTCTTAAACAAAAATACACAGAAAAGACCAAAATGCTTACTGCAATGATATGACCTGCATGTCAATAAATAATGCATCACTTTGCCAACTAATGCCTTTCTGAATCATTTAAGAAATCTATTGTGATACTTTGAATAGATTTTTCTTAAAATGTCAAGTAAAATAGACCCTTAAACATTTTTTTTTTTAAATTAAAGTGCAGAACAGTGGCACATTTCCATAATCCCCGCTACTCTGGAAGCCAATGCAGGAGATTCTGCCTGGTCAAGTTGGTGAGACCCTATCTCAAAATAAAAAATATAAAGGGAAGAATGTGATTCAAAGGTAGAACAACCCTGAGCTCATTCCCCAATACTGCAAAAAATAGGAAGGGAGAAAAAGATCTTATTTCTATTTATGTGATTCTGCTGCCACCTAGTGAATTTTGAGAAAGTACTCTGGAAAACAGATTAATTGGGGGGAAAAAAGCATAATGTCAACCTGGAAAGTACATACATAAGGAAGGACACTGTGAAATACTTTCTTATAAAAACATTTTATGTGTTATTTTAATCAAAATTACATAATTCATAAATTTAATCATCAAGCTCTTCTTTATTTAATCAACAAGATAATTTTTAAAAATTCCTTTACTGAAGAAATAAGAGCCAGAAATATTAAATTGTTTTTGTCATCAGGTTATACTTAACAATACACATGAATTTGATATTATTCCCAAAGATTCTATATTTGGAATTTTCAGTTTTAGTCATTCCTCAGAAATTAAATATAAGTACTGATTCCAGAACCCTCACAGATACCCAAATCTAAGGATCCTCAAGTAGTACTTGCACAAAATTACATAATCCTCCCACATACCTTAAGTCATTTCTAGATTACTTATAATACCTAATAAAATGTAAATGCTAACAGTTGTGATACTATATGTTCAGAGAAAAGAAGAAAAAAATCTGTAGATGTTCAGTAAAAAAGAAACTTTTCCCCCAAATATTTTTATCTTGTGATTGGTTGAATCCACGGATTCCTAACACATGAATACAGAGGACCAACTATACTTATCAAGAACAGTGCTGATTATACAGTTAATATATAGTAATACATATTGACAAATAATCTCAATACCTAGAACTTTATCAACTATAATATATTAAAGAAGTCCATAAATACAATAGGCAATAATCTATAATAATGCTTACCTGGGAAAAGATATTTGCTGTTGGAGCAACTCTGCTGTCCACAATGCTATATAATATTGCTAATAATCTGTCTAATGGAAATGGTTTTGGTCCAAGTAGATGATTGCTTGTCTGGGGGGGAAAAAAAGAAGAAGAAAAGAAAGGAAGGAAGGAAACATGGATTTTCTTTTTATAACAGAGCACTCACTTTCTGGACTATAAATTCCCAAAAGCAATATATTTATACTTGTTATCTTAGTCTGAAGATACTAACAAATAAAATACTTTTAAAATATCATGATTTATTTTTTACCTTATGCCTCAAGATAGTCCTAGTATCAACAAATGAGAGCTCACAGACATCTGCAGTCGTAAACATTGCTATTTTGCTGCTGTAAGCAGTTGTTAGACGACTGAGGTGAACAACACCAGGTTCTTACTCCTACAGTAGCATTTATTACTTTCGGCCTCTCTAGATCATTTCTAGAAAATGTACTTGTTCCACATTAACAGTTCTAAAAAATCAAATATAATTAGAAAACTAATAAAACATTTTATAATTTGTAAATACGCTATCAGACTGAAACAATATAAAATTTATAAATAATTTTAAAAGATTAAAAAATGTTCATAGCTGCATATAAATTCATATGGGACAATTATGTCATTAGAAAACTACAATGTTCCAATTCTATCCTATTAGCATATGTTTTTAGTAGCAATTTAATTAATTTATATTAGCAATGACAAATAAAATGGGAAACCATTTTTATACGCATGGGAATAACTAACTATTTAAAAGAAGAATGACTATAAAGAAAAACAACTGTTCAGAATTACAAAATTCAATATTGACTTCAGCTATTTATATATATAAAGACTGTTCAGAAATCATTTATTTTTTAACTTTTGTATGTTGTTCTCAATAAAAGAGGAAAGTTGTTTTAAAGTTGTTAAAACTTTAAAACTTTTTTTAAAGTTGTTAAAAACTTTGAACATTTAGAAAAGTACAGAGGTTAATAAACACCAAGGTTAATAAACACTAGGCCAATTTTATCAAATCCTAATGTGCAATATGCACAAACAATAAAAAACTGGAACACATTATAGAGAAGTTGAAGACTTATTGAATGCTTTTTCCCTCATCCCTTTTTCCCTTTCCTTCCTCTAATGAAGGTCTTTGTACTACTGAACGTTATGTAGCCACAAACAATAAATAGCACTATTTGCATCATTTAAAACTTTATATAAATGATTTCATTTTGGAAATATCTCATTGTTTTTCACATTTATTGACAAAGTACAAGTAGTTCTAGCTCATTTTAAACTACTCTCTAGAATTCCATTTTATGACTGTATACAATATCCAGTTTAAAAATTCATCATTATTACTGTAACTGACTTATCTTGTACATTTCTCCTTGTGCACATATGCAAATTTCTCTAAGTGGGATTGCTGGGTGAAAATATGAGGCTAAAACAATGCTGTGTTTACCATTTTTTCTTGGGTATATAAGACTTCTTTTCTTAGTCTTTCCTGTAATTAGATAGATGCTATATAACTAAGTGGTGGACATTGGACTGTGACTAAAAGTGATGTAAACTACTTCCAGGCCTGGTCTTTCAACAACATCCTTTTATCCTCTTTCCCTTTGGTAGCAACTTCAAACTATGCCAGGTTTCACTTGATGTCATTGTAAAATGAAGGAAGCCACCCAACTCATATTTAATTATGTTGTGAGCAATATATAAACTTTTGTTATGTTAAGCCACTGAGAGTTTGGGGCTTTTTATTTTATACTCTGCAAGCCCTATTATGACTAAAACACAGTTCATTCATACTTAACTTGATTGGATATTATCAGTGCACAGAGTAGGGAGACTCTTAATTATACTACATTATTATTAGCAATTGGAATCATCAGATTTTTTTTTTTTTTAGTTCTGTCAATCTAAGAGTGTGACTATCTCTGTTGCTAAAATTTGCATCTCTCATTAGTGAATGAAGCTAAATAATCACGTTATGTTTATTAAGCATTCAACTTTTTTTTTTGTACATTTTCTCATTAGGTGTTTGTCTTTTCCTTACTGGTTTGTAGTCTTTAAAAACTTGAATTATTTGTTGTATAAATTCAAGGACAGTTGTAAACATCACTGAAGAAGTTGGAGTCCATCAATCCTGGAACTGAATCCAGGCTCTACCACATATTAACCAAATAACCTTGGGAAAGCCGGTTAATTTCTCTTTAATACTCAAAGCTGAAGAGAATATCAGAACACAGATCTAAACAAATTATCCTTGGAACATAGCACACAGACACCAAAGGGAATGAATAATGTAAATGACTTAGATACAAGGACAGAGAGATGAAGGTCTAACATGTCTATGCAACATCTTAGGAAAACAAATTAAAATGAATGGTAAAGAGGCAATATGTGAAAAGTTAATGACTAAGAATTTATTAGAATTGAATAAGAATTTATTAGAAGTTAAATATCAATATCCAACTTCAGGAAAAAAAACTAATTCCAAATAAAAAGAAATTCAATCTCAGATATATTACAGTGAAATGGTAAAAATAACAAAGGAAAAGAAAAGCAGCTAAATAATACACAGATAACAAAAAAGGAAGAGACTAGTCAGCAGCATCAATGAAGGCTAAAAGCCAGTAAGATAATATCTTCAAAGTCCTAAGAAAACACTATCAATTTAGAAATACCTACTGACCAAAACTGCTTTTAAAAAATGAGAGTTAAAAATAACTCTCAGTCTCTACAGTATAAACTCAACAGTTCAATATTCTCTCTTTTGCCAAGAGAAGCAGCAAAGGTTTGGACATACCCAGTGAAACAAGGAATCTCGGTAGTCTAAATGCTCTTTCACCAATTTCAAACTCACCTCACATTCCTACATTCAAAATTACTTGTGCTTCTACTTTTTAAGCTTTTCCAGATTCCTTAGGCCAAATCATCTATCTTGGTTGGAGTTCTGGTTTTAGCCTCCTCTCATCTGCTTAATGACCTGAATATTTATCTACTATGGAATTCCAAATTTGGGAGCCTCTCACCTGCTTAGTCCTTTGAATTTCTCTTTTTAGTTTTTTCCGTGTCATTTTGAAGGTGTTTCAAAGTGCAAAAGAGGAAAACGCCCATAATCAATCAGCTGAATTTAACTAACAATCCAAGGTGAACTTTTTCATTAACTAGGTCATAAAAACACTGTCAATTCAGTTTTATCTCCAGCACCAGCTCAACTGAAATGTGTTTTCAATCATTGTATCCAATAACAAAATACTATTACAACATTACATTTTAGTGTATCAATACGAATAACTTCTCACATGCAAATGACAAATACAAATACACATCCAGTTGCTATATTTTAAAAATTCACAAGTATCTACCATCAGAAAATTCAAAATGTAAATACCTTTTCATGTTTCTTTAGAAAGTTGGTTTTCTTGATTTTTCCATGATGCTGCAATTAAGAAAAAAAAATTTTTGTTATATTTATTTTTTAGTTTTAGGTGGACACAATATCTTTATTTTCTTTTTTGTGGTGCTGAGGATCAAACTCAGTGGCTCAGGCATGCCAGGCAAGCACGCTACCACTTGAGCCATATCCCAAGCCCCAAGAAAAACAAGTTTTTTAAGATTAAAAAGAAAATACTCCACAAAACAAAACAACAAAAAAAAAGTAATTTGTTTAAAACAACGCACACATAATAATTTATGTGACAGACTTTTTAAAAATTTTTATCCTACTTATCACACTGTATATATTATACCTCAATATGTTTTAGGTTGACTTGGATTAGATGGAAGATTACTTCTGCATGCAAATAAAAAGGTTTTTAAATTAAATGGCAATACTTCCTAAAAGAATTTAATAAATTGATTTAGCACTCCATATTTATTGCTGTAAAAACAGAATTTTCAAAGGTAAATGAAGGAGGGTGACCCCTGCCCTCTTGAGACTATAGAGTAGTGGAACAGGGGACACAAAAAAGAAATTTATTACAAATTGTTACAAATCTAAAGAAGAAAGCAAATATTGTGTGAAACCAGAAACAATAAAGAAGTCCTGCTAAAATAGACTGTAGAGCGAGAACACTCTGAGAAAGCAGGATTTAAATTGAAACCTGAAAGGTAAGTATTAGAGAAGGGGCTTTTCAGAAAGAAGCAACATGTTCAAAGACCTTAAGAGATTACAATATTCTAAGGAATGAAAAGGCTTCAAATTTACAACGTACGCCTGACTCTTCTGAAAAACTATCTTCTCCCAAATTCCAGGTTGAAATCTTAATTTAAAGCCTTTAGAAAAAGAGTCTTAAACACATATTTAACAATTTCTTATTCTAGATTCTAGCCCATAGAAACTTATAGGTATTGAGAAATTTCAAAACTTAGTTAATTCCTAATATCCATAGGGGGATTGAGAACCTCCCAACCAGATACCAAAATCCAAAAGTCCCTTATATAAAATAGTGTACTAGTTGAATATAACCTACTACATACGTTAAATCATCTCTACATAATCTATAATACCTAATACAAAGTAAATGCTATAAAAATAGTTTTTAGGGAATAATGACAAGAAAATAGTCTGTAAATGTTCAGTACAGATTGAAAAAAAAAATGGTTTTACTAGTCTCTGATGGTTAAACCTCCAGATGTGGAACCCATGGATCCTGGGAGCTCCAATAAGAAAGTGAAAACAAGTATGTTGCTATTACCTTAAGGAAGAATCTCTTGTCAGTTCTTGCTGGATTGTATGACGCGAGGTATGCAGCAATTAGAATAAACTTAGAGTAATATGGGAGTTCCACATGAGTATATGCTGAGAGACCTATACAAAAAATATTTTCATGGAGATATTTATCAGGCTACCATTAGGTTTTAAGTATCTCTTCTCATTTATCTTTTGACATTCATAGAATGTTCTCATAGTCTCTGGTTTTATATGGAGATAAAACTGAATCAACAGTGTTTTTATGACTTAGCTGATAAAAAGGTCACCCTAGACTGTTAAACATATGGTGACCTCTAGTCATGGTGACACTTATAAACTGAGCTGTTGATGGTAATAACTGCACCAAAAATTATTAATGATATGCTTTATTCATTCTATTATTTTTGCTTGGCTCCTCACATCCTAAAGTCTAAATTCTACCCACTATTCCCTTCAAGGCTATTCTCTTAAATTTTTCCTGATGCTCCCCACCACACCAAGACAGAAAACTTTTATCTCTACTATGAATTTCTACTTTGAATATTTCACACATATCCCATATAATATTATGCTTTGTGTTAACAAAAATTATATATATATAAATTATACCCCTTACTAAGCTGTAGAGTTTTGTGAAGGAGCCATATCTAGTATTTTTTTTTTGTATTCCTACAATGGTATGCACATAGAAAATAAATAAAACAATGGATAAATAAAACATAGATAAGCAGCAATGATTCTTAAAGGAAGAAAAGGAATCTGCTCTTTACTAAATATCTACTATGTGTCAGACACCATGCTAGGGGTTTTACTTAAAGACCACTTTAAATCTTTGTGGTATTTTAAAGCTAGATATTCTTCCCATTTTATAGATGAAGAAACTGAACTGGGTTCAAGATCATCGTTAGAAAGTAGTGCTGAACAATTACTATAGACTTTTTAAACTTTAGTCATTTACATTCTTCTATTAATAGAGCACAACTAGAAATCACTTGTAAATCATCCAAAACATTTAAAAAGCAAAGCAGACTGAACACAATAGCATGATTTCATACCATTTTCCCATCCATCAGTCACTAACATTTTTTTTTTTAAATAAGAAATTCTGGATATTCATTCATATTTTAAAAGTAAAACCAGTTCTTTTGGAAGTAAATCCCAAGTAAATTTTTTCTTAAAAACAAAACAACAACAACAAAAAAAACAGTGCTTTGAAAACACAGCCACTGAAGTATACCCTTAAACTGAGTTAAGATAAAATTGAATTTTATTCCATAAAACTCTCAATATATATGTACTGAGATAAAATCTTGTCATATATTTGGGTTGTTTCAATAAAAACACTGAAAGAAACATAAATTGCTTGACTTTCACATGTTATTATCTAAATTTTAGAGAAGAGAAAATTCATATTCCATTAAATGAAAATTATTTATCAAAATACCATTATGACTTAAAAAGTAAACTCTCTTTTATAATACTGTTTACTGGCTGAATGCTCTTTAGCATTAACTTTAGTATCAATAATTAAAGATGTACTTCTGATAAGTGCTTCAATACTTTCTAAGATACCTTTTAGTTGTCCAGAATCTGAATCATCTTTCTGTAGCTTCTCCCACTGGGAACTGAAAGAAAAAAAAGAGGAGCAAAAATGGATTAAAATAGAAGAAATCAATAAGCTATACTTAAAACAGAGCCCTAAAACGAGATAAAAATGTGTATTTATTGACGAAACAGAAAACAAGAAAGACAGTTTGGTAAATATTACAACAATATAAATAATTTGACATATATTATATCAATATAAACTTATAAAGCAATACCCAGGTATTATTTTTTAATAATCTTTTACTCTGATCAAAACTATAAATAGCTATCAAAGAGCACCAAGTAAATACCTACCACTTAGTAAAACAACCAATGTTCTAGTTATCATATTAGACACAATCATTATACACTATTTCTGAACTCAATAACAACTTAACTGAGTGGGTATTTTTGAACAACTTAACCTTTAGGCCTCAATGTTCTAATGTAATTATACATAAAGAGAGTACGTATAATTACATTAGAACACCGAGGCCTAAAAGTTAAGTTGTTCAAAAATACCCACTCAGTCAATAGTGGAGCTAAGAGCAGAATTCTTGCACATGCCTTCATGTTATTTTAACTGCTCCACCCTGCCCTTACTTGCAATTAAAACAATTACAGCCAAAATATTAAGAAAGTGCAATGACTATGATATGGGAAATCAAATTCATAAGGAAATACACTATGGTAAAAATGAAAAAAGACTGCCCCAAGAAGACAGAGGTTTTAACTTGTAACTGTATAAATCTTTTCTCATCAAAATATAAGGCAGTTAGATATAATGATCTCTAAGGAACCCCTTCAATTCTAAAATTCTCTTAAAACTTTATTGTACATGGGTAAGTGGGGGAGGAGTTACATTATTGGGGAAAAATGGATAAGTCATTTCCTATGAAGCAATTCAAGTACTTACAAATGAAGCAGAAGGCAACACCAGTCTTACAATGACATTTCTCTACTACCAAAGAATCTAACTTGTCCTTTGTGCCACATTTTGAGAAAAATGGAAACTAAGGGCACAATATATGATATTATTGTAAAGGTAACAAATTGAACAAAACTGCATTTTTTTTAATTCCCCCAAAAGATTGGGGCGGGGGGCGCGGATGAGAAATTCAGCAAAATAATATGGCAGAGTTAATAAAACATATATCCTCTACGTCAATAAAAACACATGAGCATAACACACTCATTAAAGAAAAGTTTTCAAAATGCCTCAGAGAGGCAGGAAGTCAGATTAGCAATACTTATATTTTGTTATCTATCACCTCAATGGAAGAAACATATTACAGATTACATATTAACTGCAAAGGGAAGAAGATGTATCCAGATACACATAAATGTATAATTCTGAAAACAAAAAAAGTTATGGAAGACAAACCAGGAACTACATATGTGGTTAGGAACAGCGCAGAAGGATAAAGATGGATATGAGACTTATTTGAGTATACTTTTAATTTTTTTGGAGGGTAGGATAATGGGTTTAATTTTCTATTTGTTTGCTTATTTGGTTCTGTTTGTTTGTTTTGACACTGGGTCTTTTGCCCTGAGGTCCAAACTGGCTCAAACTCGCAATTCTCCTGCCTCAGTCTTCTGATTAGCTGGGATGATAGGCGGGTGCCTCCATGCCCAGCTACTTTTATCTTTTGAAGTTTTGAAGTTTCTTTGCCTCTCATCTTTTACTTGTGCAGCAATATATTCCCTTTTCTCTTTCCTTTCTCTTACCATTTTTAAAGTTGTGATATTTCCATCTTGTTGGAATACACTTATACAATACTCTTCTATCCTCATTTCTACTTTTATTTTAGTTTTGAGTTGCCATCAATCATTTGATTAAAGTTTTCCCAATCATCACTGTTATATCAAGGCTGCCACCAGATTACTCAGAACTGCCTTTTGCATACAGTGGTCCCTGGGTTATTACATGTTTAAAACTGTTTTCTAAGTTTTGATATTGGAAACAGATTGAACAGACACAAAATACTTCCTTTCTTCTTTAGTTTCTTGAAAATGTTGTTCAATATGTTGTCTTCCTGTATTACTAATTCACTTTGCTTTTATCTTTTTGTCTAGAAGATCAGATTTGTTCTTTTATTTTTAAAGTTTCATAAGGAAGTCGGAAGTAGGCTGAACAATCATCATCCAATGTTACCTTATGCAAATAAAGGGACTTAGATATGGGTGAATAAGAATCTTAAAACAAAGAGATTATACTGGATTATCCAAGTAGACTTAATGTAATCTCAAGGATCTTTTTAAAGGAGACATGAGATCAGAGAAAAAAGAAAATGCTACACTGCTGTTTTAAAAGATGAAAAAAGCCACAAGACAAAGAATGCTGGCAGCCCCTGGAAGTTGGAAAAGACAAAACAGATGCTCCTGAAGAGCCTTCAGAAGGAAAACAAGCCTGTGGAAACATCTTAGACTTCTAACATTCTTCTTTAAGACATTAAATGTGTGTTATTTAAAGTCACTAAATTTGTGGTAATTTCCTACAGTCAATAGACTAATACAGTCTCAGAATTGACTATTCTGGATTAATCGGGAAGATGAACCCTTTTGAAGCATAAAGCCAGGCCTTCTTTTATTTCTGTAAAGTTTTCTTGGATTCTAATATTAGGTCTAAATTACAATCTATTCTTCTCTGTCTGTAGGAACTCCCATTACTTATGTTGAATCTTGTCATGTTTATCATATCCTACTTGATTAATTTTATCTCTTCAGTTTTGTTCTCTTAGTTGCTTTTATTCCTCTTTGATGTGCCTAATACAGTCTTCCTTGGATACCTTATAATTTCATTTCCATTTCTGAGATGATTACTTTTGCTTGAATTTCATTCCTAAGTTTGATCACTTTTGTTTCACATAATCTGTTTTACTTTTGTGCATTTATTCTAGGTTGTTGAATTTCTAATTAAAAATACTCTTTCATATATAAAGATTATATTTCTTAAAAATTTAAATCAGGATGGGGTATTGAACCTGTATTCTTACAAAATAAAAGAATATTTTGTTTCTTTTTCTGATACCTTTATATGGCTTTTTCTTTTTTTTTTTTTTTTTTAATACCGGGAAATGAACCTAATGGTGCTTTATGACTGAGATACAGTCTCAGTCCTTCTGTAAAATTTTTAACATTTTAAGACAGAATCTCACTAAGTTACTGGAGATCTTACTAAGTTGCTGAAGCTAGCCTTGAACTTAAGATCCTCCAGTGTCAGCCCTTCCACCCTCATTCTTGGGATTACAAGTATATGCCCAGTGTCCAGTTTATATTCTCTTTTTAAATGATTAATATTGGCCTAGACAGGAATGACAGGTATGAATGTAGGTGAGAGGTTTTGGAGTAACTCAGTAGATCTAATTCTAAAATACTCTCTTCTATAAATAACAAAGTGAGTTTTAAAAAATATAATATAGTGCCATTTTGAGGGGAAGGGATTATCTTGATTTTGTTTCTGTCTGTGGGGAAGGAAATCCTCAATTTCCACTCCTTCCTACCTCTGTCTTCTATTACCAAGTCTCTAAAAGATACCACACTCTTGCAAATTGACCTACCTCTTCTGGAAACAGTACTTTCCCAAGACTATTGTGCTAACACTGGTCCTACATACTGCTTTTTAAAATATTTTTTAGTTGTCAATGGACCTTTATTTTATTTACTTATATGTAGTGCCGAATCGAACCCAGTGCCTCACACATGCCAGGCAAATGCTCTACCACTGAGCCACTACTCCAGCCCCAGTCCTACATACTCTTGACATGTCTTTTTGGTTCTCCAGAAGCCAGTGCTTTATCCTTTGGACCTCAGAACTTATTGTGATATTTTCTCACTCAAGATGGACTCTTTCTAGAAGTGATTTCCTTCGTATGACACCACTACTAGTCAACTCATTCCCAGCTTCCACTGTACTCTCCTCTTTCTAGTTGTCGTTGCTCGACTTCTCACTAGAGCATGAACTGGTTTTGTGGTTTCTGTTCACTATTTACGTATAAACTGAAGTGTGCAGTACTTCTCAATTACCAGTTGCAATGCAGGCATGGGTTCTGAGTAGTTTTGTTGATTATTCTCAATGATTTTATAGAGAAAAATATATTTATGTGGGCATAATTATCCGATGAGGAATTAGAAATACTTTCATTATTATGTAAAAATTATTTTAACAAGTACACAAGTTTTTCTACCTTTAGAAGATTGAAACTTTTCATTCTGTGACATGCCTAATCTGATAATCTAAAATCCTAAATGTTCCAAAACCAGAAACTTTTAAAAGTCTAATATGAAATATAAAACAGTTTTTGAATTTAGAATTCAGATTTTTGGCTTGGGGATAGTCAACCAGTGAAGTCTATGCAAATATTCCAAAAACTGAAAAAAAATCCCAAATCTGAAATACATCTGGCCCAAGCATTTTGGATAAGGGATAACAGCCTATAATATAAAGGATATTCAACCTGTAGGACACACACTAAATAGATAGTAATTACCTTGAAACTTCTCTGAGATAAACAGTCTGCATGGCTTTCTTCAAATGAGGTTCAATATTTCTCCACAGTTTGCGAGTATCACGTTCATTTGCTATCCCACAGAGGAAAAAATTTCTATCATTTAGATCTTATAAAAAATGTTTTTCAAAATAAATATGAATAAGTAAAATTACATAGATACCTTCTCCTTTAACCACAGGTTCACAATATTTAGGAAAATTAAGTACTGCCTATAAATTAAGAGAAAAAAGACAAAAAGAATAGAATTATCACAATTAGGAATTTATTTTTCAAGTAAAATTTTATTATAATTCAAGCAATTTCATTTAACTGTTACAGTAAAATGTAATTAGAGCTTACTAGTACAGTAAAACAGCAAAGTTATAAATAATGATAGTAAAACAACATACAAAATATTCTTCAGTTGGCTAAATCTTGTCTAATAGGCTCTACGTATAAAATAAAAAAATACAATTTGTATTTACAGGTCATAATGATATTTTGCACAAAAAAAATTTTTTTAACTATTATTTTCCAAGGTCTGAACCCTGTCATTAATTCAACATCATCTAGTTTAGTATGAGTGAAAGTATTTGGACTAACAGCATTAGCTGAGATTGTTACCAGTTCAAGTTTTGGGTACCATCAAAGGCATACTAAATGAGAATCTCTGAGGATGAAATCTAGCAAACTATGCTCAACCTCAAAGTCAGACTCGCCCTGATAAACACCCTGTTTTAAAATAAGAGATACCCTAAAGCTAAGCTGGTAAAAAAATAAATAAATAAGAAGAAGTTGAAATTCTGAAGAAGCAGAAGGTATTTATGAAGTTTAAAAACACTTTTCCCCCCAAATACATATTACTTACAAAGAAAAAGAGATATCACTTTAATCAAATGATCAAAGTGAACCATACTGGCCTTGGGTTTGATTGCCAATACCACAACAATAATAAATAGCAATCGATAACCGGTTAAACTAAAATCCTGTGCCACCTGATAGGATGTAATAAGACAACACAGCACATTTCTGCCATATTCCTTAGATATGTAACCTGAATCTATTCATGAGGAAACATTAAACAGATGCAGATTTCGAAGGAGTCTATAAAACAACTAGCTTATAATCTTCAAAGGTCTCACAGTCATGAAAGTCAAAAGACAGGAACTGTTTCAGATGAAAGTATGTTCAAGAAACTTGACTTCTAAGTCAGTGATCTGAAATAGATTCTTTTTGCTCTAAAAGGTATTCATTGAGACAACTTACAATCTTGAATAGGGTTTGAATATCAGGTTGTAGTAAAAAAAAAAAATCAATTTTCTGATTTTGATCATGGTACTGTGATTATGTAGGAGAATGTCTACATAAGAAATGCACACTGAAGTATTCAGGGATATTAGGGTACCAGGTACAAGCTTACTTCAAAATGGTTTCGGGGAAAGGGATTAATCTTAACTGAACTTACCATTTCTTTGTAAATTAGAAATTATTTCCAAAATTTTAATATAAATTGAAACAGCATTCAATACTTTCATTATATTATAAATACTATAGCTTAACAGAACAATTAGAACAAACTATTAACATATCAGTACCAATGAAATATGGTAGTGAGCTATTTTAGTATTAAGTCCTCTCCTTATTCTACCGTTTATACTTCAATTACTCTGGTATCCTCTTCTTAGTCACTAAGCTACACTACTAAAACTAGCCATGGGAACAAATAAAATGACAATAAAAAGTAAACATTAGAAACCTGGCATTGTATTTTAAGAGGATGTTAAGCTAAGTCATTCATTCATCTCTGAGTAATTTCTAAGAGCTTTGATATTTCGGAGGAAAATAAAGATTTAAATGTGTAATAGATGTTTAAAAAATTAGGCAAAACGAAAGGTAAGTAAATTCATTATATAGTGTTTGGTATTTATAAGAGTATAAAAACAAATTCTTTGATTGAACTTTCTAAAAATTCTAACTATTTTTAGGACTATATTGAGTATTGTTAGAAAAGATAAATCAAAATGTATTCAAAGTAGTACTTTATTTTCTCCTGTTCTGTACTATCTATAGACCTAGCCTCTAAAAATACTAGAAGAAATAACAATTTCTAAAACAAATTTAAAAGCACACACAAAAAAGATGACTGAAAAGAATCTTTTGCAGGTGTTTTATGAATATACAATCAAGCTATCTATATGCCACTTATGTACTTTGAAATAATATTATGCAATTAAAGGGAAACAGGAAAATAAATGCCTTTATTCTCCTATGTTCTACATATGTAAAAAAGAAGAAAAAAAATAATGTCATTGTTTAGATTTGAGGTGAGACAGGCAAGAAAGTTTATTTATTTTATTTTTTTTTAAAGAGAGAGAGAGAGAGAGAATTTTTAATATTTATTTTTTAGTTTTCGGCAGACACAACATTTTTGTTTGTATGTGGTGCTGAGGATCGAACCCTGGCTGCACGCATGCCAGGTGGGCGCGCTACCGCTTGAGCCACATCCCCAGCCCCTAGGCAAGAAAGTTTAGAAGTGAAATGATTAGTATTAACCTAATCAGTTATACCACTAATAGGGATCAACTGGATGGCAACTATAGACAGGTAGGGTATAGCTGGAGGAGGTAGTCATTGGACGCAAGCCTCTGGGGCATATAATGTGTCTCTGGTCTGCAGTCTTTCTCTATCTGCTTCCTGGTACAATGCTGAGCTACTTTCCTCCACACACTTCTGCCATAATGTTCTGTCTCACCGAGGGACCAGTGCAATGGCGCTGAAGGTCTATGGACTGAGATCTCTGAAACTGTGAGCACCAAATAAATTTTTCCACTTCTAAAATTGTTCTTGTCAGGTCTTTTGGTCACAGTTGCAAAAAAGCTGATGAAAACAAATACATAATTTTCCCTCCAATGCTCAAAAGATTTTTTTTATGTTTTTAATATTATATTATAAAGACTTAAACTACATTTCAAGCTTATGAATATGTTAAAACACACTCTAACCTATAAGTAAAAGTATAAGTAAATCTATATGTGAAAGTACTCCTCAGTGAATCCCAAAGGACTTTTAAAAAAATACCACACCTAAATATATGTATTTTCTCCCTTTACATTCTTTTCCTAAAAATATTTTGAATTTTCCTTATACTTTATAATCTATTTTAAAGTGGCTGATAGCATAGAATCCTACAAAAGTCAAATACAAAGGAGTGTTAAGTGCAAGTTATTCACCAGGAAAGACAAAGGAGGAGTATCTGCCCCTGACTCCAGGAATCTTTCACTTTCCCTGTCTCCTCTCTGTAAGTTCCTTCTATTGTCTGTCATTTCCACTGGGTGTCAGAGGTCCCAAAAGGCATCTTACTTCTGGAGGGTTGTGTTTGTTAGTGCTAAGATTGAACTAGAATAGCTATTTTTTTTTTTAATCTCAACTGAGAAAATGCCTGAAATATACAAGTAAATGTGAAGACACCTGAAATCTAAATGTGAATATAATTTTAAATAGTCATCTTTTTCTATGTTCTGTCTCAAACACACATTCCAACACATATTAAATACTATTTAAATAAATATTTAAGTACTACCTTTCACAGCAAAGAAAGGAAAAGCAAAGAAAATATCCCAAGAAGGATAAAATCTTTACTTTGAAAGTAACTGTTGTCCAGCCTTAGATATATTACTGACTTTTGTTAACTGGAGAATAAGATCTTAAGCGTTTCTAAGAGGGAAAACAGGAAAAAAAAAAAAAAGACAAAATAAAAAGTAAATAAATAAGTTAATTAATTTAAAAAGAAAAAGATACACATACACACACACACACACAAAAAAAAAAAAAAACAGAAAGATAAAGAGAGAACCAAAAAACAAAGAGAGAAAATAAACACAACTCTACAATTAAAGTAAGAGAGTCAAAGAAAAAATCAAACATTATACTTTTCCAGACCGCTTCTGGATTACAAAAATAACTTCTAAATTTTCAAAAATATTAAAAGAATCTTTTATATAAAAATTACTAACTCAAGGTTAGTGGTTAATGAAATACCTGTAATTAAGGTTTCTTACTATCCTCATATCTATCTACATTATAGGCCAATAGCCATACACATAAAATCCAGAAAAAAATGCATTTCAAAAAAGTAATAAAGAAATCTAAGGGCTGGGACTGTGGCTCAGCAGTAGAGCGCTCGCCTAGTATGTGCGTCGCCGACCTAGGTTCGATTCTCAGCACCACATTAAAAAAATAAAATAAAATAAAGGCATTGTGTTGTGTCCATCCTCAAAAAAGAAGATTCTCTCTCTTGAAAAAAAAAAATGTAAAACTGTTTAAGTTTTAACAACTTCCTGATATCCTTCATATTTATTTTAATGGACTCCTACATTTTTTGCAATTAGAGAAAAGAGGAAGAAAGAAAATGAAGAAAAAAAATGTCACTTTTCTAAGTAATGATGAATGTGTAAGTTTTCTAATCTGGTCACAGTGTGTACTAACCTCACACATCAGCCTCAAAAAGCCATGACCAAATTTCCAGAATACATTTTCAGCTTTCAGCATAACTTACACTATTTCTATATGGAAAAAGATTAAAAGATATGTATTTTTTTTAAAGTAATATGCTCACTCACCAGATGTCTAAGCTCTTTCAAATCCCGACAAACAGTATAGAAAACTCCAAGAAGAATATTAATGTAGGCAGCATAAAAATCAGGTGAATATTCTGGAGGACGATCATGGGATAAGATCTTTTGAAGGTGCCCTGTTCACAGAACATAAATTAACTTAGAATGATTAAGACAGCACCTAATCAGATCTTCTAGCATTTTATAAAGGTTAAAAAAAAAAAAAAAAGAAAACCCCTCAGTCTCAGCAATAATTAAGGAATAATAAAACTGTTACAAGATTAGAATTGAAAAGTACGGTTTTGTGAATAAATATAATCCCAAATGTGACATACATATATTGTGATACAAACACACACATGTACCCAGTTCTTGGTCTAAAATCCTTGGGGTTTCCTGAATGACAGGCGACAAGAGCACCTTATTAATTCACAAGTTCACACTAGTGGGCCCCTAGACAGCATCAGAATTAGACTTGCTGCCAAGGGCTCCACCCCTTGGCCTCCAGGGTAAAGATAAAGTCTGGAGATTGAGTTCATCACCAATGGCCAATGATTTAATTAACCATGACTATATAATGGAGCCTCCACCAAAACCCCTTTCAGAGAGCTGAAAGGATAGTACATCCTAACTCCACAGGGAGAGAAGTTCCTGTGCTTGGAACCTTCCAGACCTTACCTCTTCATCTGGCTATTCATTTGTGTCCTTTATAATATCCTTCATAACAAATGGATAATAGTAAAAGTAAATAAAATGTTTTCCTAAGTTTTGTGAGTCATTCTGGCAAATTACTGAACTGGAGAAGGGGATCATGAGAATCCTCAATTTACATCCAGTTTTCAGAAGTACAAGTAGAAATTTGAGACTCGATAGGCATTTAAAGTGGGTGCAGTCTTGTGAGACCCTTAGCCTGATTCCTGGTAATTAGTGTCAAAATTGAATCACTGTTTTCTTGGGTTTTGTTTTATTTTTTTACTCCCCCTTCCCTTTTTTAATGGAATGTGCTGGATGTCTCTATAATTTTGTTCAGATGACTGTAGAACCTGGAAAAGCTGTTGCTGCTATTGATGCATAACATACTGCTATTATTGGTCTTTTCATAGAAATATAAATATGTATATTTAAACTTGAATTTTTGGAAACTTTAGTTGTGCTATCAACTTTGATGTTCTAAAAAGAATTATTAAATACTACTTAAGACAAATGTGAAACAATGACATAAAAAAATCTCAAGAATCTTCTTGTTGGCAAAATCAATAAAGGGTGAATAATAATATGGATTCTAGCTTATTATTCTGCCTACTAAGTAAATCAACTAGGAAAAAAAAAAGAAGGGGTAATACACAAATTATGACCACACTAGACTATGCTCTTCATTTGTTATAAAATGAAAAGAATTCATAAATGTTTTTATGATTATCCTTGTCTGATGCCAATCCTTATTTTGTCATTTCCCCTTTTACCAAGTGTTTTCTTCCTACGAATTTGGTATCTTTGTTTTATTTCTCTTTTATCTCAAGTTCTATATATAAATTATATGTTTATGGTCCTAAACTTATATTTTATTTTGCTGAAACTATCATGTTATAGGACAATTAAAATAAAGAGAAATAATTACCTATTACCCAAAACTTTCCAGTTATGGTGCATGAATCAATTATTAATTTATTCCTTATTGTAATGTTGTCTGCTTCTTGGTGCAATGGTCTCCTTAGTCCTCTCGGTTAAGAACTCTGACTATGACTAGTACTTTAAAACCAGTTCCAGAATGTAAAGGTCTTTTGCAATAACTTCAGATAAAAACTCTCCTAGGATAGTTGACCAAAAAAACACTTTCAAAGCCGAGTTTCATGCTTAAAATATTATACTTCGAATATTATACTAAATGGAAGACTTATTGGATTTGCATTTTCCTATCAAAACCCTGAAAATTTTTTCACAAAATGTCAAAATTTGACTTTGGATCTTAGGTACTTTCCCTCTCTGATAGCAAACTTTAAATATAATTTTTTTAATTATGCATGGGAAATTATCAGTTACACTGAAAATTTCTAAAAGGTACCTTAAAACTTAGAAATAAAAATAGATATAAAAGATGCCAAATAAATGGATGGATGGAAGAAAGAGAAAAAGAGGAAAAAGTAGATGGTCAAACAGATGAACTTTAAAAGCTCAGACTACATTCCTGAGTGCCCTATAAACATCTCTGTCTAGATACCCAATTTAGGTAATCTTCAATATCCCGTAAGAAAATTAATTTAGGTATTACCACTGGTCAATGTCAATCCCAATGAACGTCTCCTAAGAATCAGAACCCTAAATGCATTGTTGTAAAAGTAGTTTAGCTGCTTAGTTACAGACTACAGATGAAATTTTAGAGTACAAGTTTACATTTAGCAAGTTCTAATAGTTTAGGACTATTCAAAGTCATGAAGGAAAAAAAAAATATTTCTATCAGAATGCTGAAAACTGCACCACCAAGTAGTAAATAAAGGAGAAGAGAAACTTTGATTTTTCTCCTGGTATCTTAAAATTTCACTTTCAAAATATTGTCTAACACACAAAGAAAATCTATTCTTAACTTAAAGAGAAACTTTAGCTTCCAATTGTGAATAAGAGGACCTAGAAATATTCTCCTGTGATAAAAAAAAAAATGCTGGACCCAATACAGAAAAATAATATTTTAAAACACTGAACAGACACTAAAAGACTGTGATATCTGAAAATGGAAAGAAATGAGTTGAGTCATGCCATTGTCCAGTCTTTCTAACCAAGGGTCATTTTAACACTGTGGTATAAGGAAAGTCACAAAAGGAACTCACAAACTTCATTGAGGATACAGAGGCTGTGGTGACGGACTTAAGGACTGAATCTGCAGGGCAAAGTACCTAAGAGGAAGAAGTTAACAGAAAAAGAGCAACAGAAATATGCAAAGCAATTCTCCTCAAGTCTTTGCTGAATATTGATTTGTGTATGCCTAGAGTAAAACCCCATAATGCTAAACAAGAACAAGTTCTGGGAAAAAACAATTACTGGAAAATTATAAGTCAAACAATTCCACTGCTCACACAGGGCTGTGAACTATTCCTGTTACTACCAGTCAATACAGGGACCATGCTGAATAAATAGAGCATTTAGCAGAGATTCCAAAAGGATGATGTCTTAGAAGTGGAAATAAAATTAACCCTGAAATAAAAGCTATTCCAGATCCCTTATCCAAAAAAGTTTAAAAAATGTCTCAAAATGGTCAAATATATTTTTAAATAATTATAAATGCTTATCATGAGGAAAACCCAATGCACAACAAAAAACACTGCCTATAATAAAATAAAAACTAATAGCTACACAAAAAAGCATAAGGGATAAACAAAATGGAAAAAAAATTAGCAGAAACAAACACAAAATGAAGAAAAAAGTGAGATTAACAGACAAGAACACTGAAACAACTATTTAAAATATGCTCACAAACTCAAGGATATAAAGGAAAACAAAAAGCACGATAAAATCTATAATGAAAAAGCCCATTGGATAAGATTAACTTCAGATTAAAATACTCATAGGAAAAAAACAGTGAATTTACAGATGTAGAAACAAAAGCTTTACCTAGTAAAACAGAGAGAAAAGAAGATTTCAAATTTAATTACATAAAAAAGGACTTTCAGTGGGAAAATAGCAAATGACCTAACTTAAATATAATGCAATCACCAAAAACCAGAAAAGTCAGCAGGGGACTACCAAGAAAAATGGCTACAACTTTTCCTCAGTTAGAGGAAACTACATTCATAGATTTAAGAAGCACAAAAAGCTCCAAGCAGATGAATAAAAGGTATTTTCTTTTTTGACTTTTTATTTCACTGACATTCAAATAATAATATGAAGTTTATAATAAAAGTAGGAGTAAAATGTAAGACAGCATTAGCACAAAGGTGGGAAATAAGAAGTCATTAAAATTTTTAGATTGTTATCTGAACATAATACCTATCCTGACTGACACAATAACCAAAACCTCATCAAAGCACTATAATCTATCTGAAGCAAAACACATTCCCAAAAGACATAGTTTGCATTTGATAAAAGATCAAAAAATAAGACTTCTAAATTGGGTCCCTAGCCATAAATGCTGAGAAATGGCCTTAACATTAGATACCACATTCCTAAAGATGACACAGGAATCAAGTTAGCATTATTGGATGATATTAACCACTAATTTCATCTCTTTGCCCTGGTTCCAACTAATTTACTCTAATCATAATTTGGTTTATCAATTAATGTTTATTCTTTGTTACTTTTTATCTGATTATCATGCCTATGCTTTAAACAAGACTTGACATGTAAAAGGTAATAATCAAATTTAACATGGATCCATTACTATATACTTTCAAAATATTATCCTATTCTCACAAAATTAAAAAGATCACTATATTTAATTTTGTCCTCAAACTGTATCTATGTTGCTTTGTAGTTTAAAATTTTTAACCCAAGTCTAAAATTAATTACATCAGACTTTAACTTCACTAAATGTAGAAAGTCAACATTTTTAGTAATTCACTTAAATTCTAAGCAACTTTTCAATACTTAACATAGGACATGAAAAAAATTAACTACAAACAGTTAAAAAGAAAAGTTTAAATGAAATATTTTGATTTATCCATTTTCTCTTTTCCTTATTTTGTGATTTTCATGAATAAGGACTCCATCTATTTTGGGTTCCTTTAAAAATTATTTTTTAATTAATAAGCTAAAGCAGGAGGTGTTATCTGGCTGCCATTCTTATGACAACAGGCAAAAAAGTGATCTTAATAATGAACGTTTACAGCTGATTAGTTTAGAGGGATAGTGTTAATGAGGCCAAGGTCATAGAATGCTTTTTTCTCATAACTGCTAACCACATTATACTTCACAGTTATAACCTCTGAACTGTAAGTACCACTTTTGCATCATGATAGCCCAATATTAAGCTGCAAAGATATTCAGCACAAAAAGTCATTGTTTTCTTCTAAAGACAAATATCATCAAGACCTATAAAATTGAAGATTACATATTACCCCAAGAATGTAGAAACATAGAGCTAGCAATTGGTATGGTATCACAGTAATGCAAAATGAGATTTATATAATCAAGATATATTCTATATGTGTACTGAACACAAGGTACATGACAAATTTAGATTCCAATACAATTTAATATGCTGTACCAAACTGATTCCTATTTGTGTGTGTTATAATCACAATATATATACATCTTAAAGCACCAAAAAAATGATGAAAATATACCATTAGTACAACTATAGGAAAGCTACTCATTCAAAAATAATAATTATACAAGAACAGTCCCTCACAGCTTCAGAATAAAACTTATGTAAGTGCAGAAATAAAATGTAAGAATTTTATTTGAGACTGGCAGCTTAAGTTTAAGACATCAAACTATTCCAATCTGAAGATTATAACTGAATATGTCAAACAAAACATTTTCCTGAATATCATTATTCAAAACAATGTTTTAAAATTTACCTATGCTATAATCAGGAAAATACAAGACAAATGGCTCAAAGCACCCAGTATCTGGACGAAACTTTTCCCAAATAATTTCACTGAGAAAGATAACAGTCACATTTCTGTCCGTCTGTAAAAGAAAGAGAAATAAAATAACTTTGAATTTAAAAATGTTAATCAGAGAGGTAATTCCATTTGGATTTTTCTTCAAATAAATATAACAAAGCTCTAACATATAACAAATTATTTGTATATTAATAAACCATGTTTGGAAAAACCTAATCAAGGAGCTCAACCATTTACATATTTTCAGACAAAATTACTTGGAATTTCCATAAAATTTGTAGGTTAGTCAACATTTCAGTTACACATGAATGCTAGGACAGTCACACAGGACTCATTTCATAGAAATTAAGAAGCACTGTCACTTGAAAAACTAAGACAAACCTTTCATGACAATTTTTTAAAAACCACAAGTTTTTAATCCATAAACAAATAAGGCAAAACCCAGCACTTCTCATTAAAATAGCCAGAGTAACTCAAAGAAAAAGAAATATGGAATTGAAGAAGAGCAGATATGCCATTCTACTTAATTCATAAAACTAGGAAAACTTAAGGTTTTCTCAAAGGCTATACAACTAATGATGAATCTTAGCATCTAAAATAACCGATGCTAATTGTATATTTAGAAATTACAATTAGCATACAAAAGTAACATGAAAAGAAAAAGCTCAATGTGCCTGTTATCCTTCTACAGAGTGGCCACAAATGTCTGTTATATGCTAGCTAGAATTTATCTGTACACACTTCTTATTTTCCACATAATTTAAATTTTCCCCATATTCTTTTAGATATCTTCTAGGCCAACAAAGCAAATGTTAGCTGTTTTTGTCTGCAAGTATTCTTAGGGTCTAATCTCACAGATAAATCACACCATACTGTTGTGGTGTTTTACTAGTTATTGTTTCCTTACTTGTGTGTTTCTTTCTTTTTAAAAATTTTATATTTTATTTAGAGACAGACTCTCACTGGGTTGCTTAATGCCTTGCTAAACTGCTGAGGCTGGGCTTTATACTCTCAATCCTCCTGCCTCAGCCTCCCAAGCTGCTGGGATTATAGGAAAGTGCCACTGTGCCCAGCTACTCATATGCATTTTTTATAACAATTTTCACTACTTAGAAAAGCATTCTATTGGTTAAAAGATAGCTGAGTTTAATAAATGAATAATTCCATAGAAAATATATCTTCTTTATAAAAGAGAGGAAAAGAGTACACTTTTTCTTTTATAAACTCATCAATTCTTAAGAATCTCTGAAATTATTTCTCTAGTTAGGAAAGTATGTTCTAACCACAATCCTAATTACAAAGCACATGCAAAAGTATTCTATAAAATCAGTTAGAAATACAAGAGAAGCTGGATGCAGTGGTGCATGCCTATAATTCCAGGTATTTGGGAGGCTGAGGCAGGAGGACTGAAAGTTTTAGGTCAGCCTGGGCAACTTAGATTCTGTATCAAAATAAATAACTTCAAAAAGGGCTGGGGATGTACGTCAGTGGTAGGGTATCCCTGGGCTCAATCCCCAGTACAGGGTAAAAAAAAAAAAAGAAAATTTTTGAAGTCTGAAAAGATCTTAAATTTTAAATTAGTGATGTTCTCAACTGTTCTTCTCAAAGTACTTTCAGTATATAATGATTTTTATGAGTTCTTTTTAGTTGTACATAAAATAGGAATCATTTTGACGTAATTATAAAAGCATGGAATATAATTTTTGTTCTAGTTCAGTACCCAGTATTTACCTTTTCCCTCCCCTCCTCCTCCCCTCTGTTCCCTTCCTCTACTCTGCTGGTAATCTTTCTTCTATTTACTTATTTTTTTTTAAATTAGTGTTATGTGAATGTACATGATGTTGAGATTTACTATGGTATACTCTTAAATTTAGTTTTCCTCAGATAAATAATAAAAATGCTTTCATTAGAGTTCTCTTAAATGAAATACACTTTTAAAAATCAAGCAGGTTTTGGAAATGTCAAAAGCTTAATTCTCTGTTCTGGTAGAGTTAAGATTACTGTAAACTTTTAATTTTATTTGAACAGTTTCAATAATTAAAACTAAAACAGTGGAAGGCCTAACTAATGTGAAGGGACATATGATCACCATCACCAGGGATGTGGAGGAAAAGATGTCAATCTACACTGAAAGGGCAAGGGGACAAACATGCCCTCTGGGTATCTGGTGGGGAGTCTTAGAATAAAGCAGTGGAAAAGAGTGGAGGAGGTTATGCAAAAAAAAGAAAATCCTGGCAACAATAATAACCCTCCCATATAAAAACCAAACAAAAGGAAAGGAAGGCAGGGACAACTGGGAAAGGAGAGATTTCTGTGGCATTAACTTCCTGATAGACCCTAGAAGCTATACTTCTCTCCTGTCAGCAGCTACACTTCTCTCCTGTCCTCTCTAAACCTTCCCTCCCTCTACTCTGACTAAACGAGAACTTTTGAGAGTCTACCTTAGGAACCCAATGACTTCAGTGACACCAAGAAGGACTCTTAAATTTATAATAGTTTTTTGATATACTTTGAAAAAAGGAATATGCTCTAACATTTATCTCCAAGTATTCACCTAATTTTTATTATAATATTGCTTAGTACTTTAATATATAAAACTAGGTAGGTATAAACTACTTATGCTCAAAGCTCTTAGAAAATTATAAAACCAAAATAAATGTATTATTAAATATAAACTACAAAATCAACAAAATTTATATTAACTAAAAATAATGAATAGTACAGTTTGGTTCAAACTAGCTCTTTGCTTCCTTTATGAATATGAACCTAAACAGAAAAAAGCTATAACTCTTTTGAATTGAGCATTCCTATATTCACTGATATTAGTGAAGAATAAATTTTCTCACCAACTTTCTTTATTCAAAGACTCCAAACCCTGCCTTCTCCATAGTTCTATCATTCATCTGACAATCATCCATATTAAATCCACCAATCTCTTCTCATTGGGCCATGACAATAGTAATACACAACAGTAAACAGAAATACAAAGCTGAGTTCTGACGTGGAGTGGCCATAAGATAGCCATTCAGATGACCCAGAATAACCATTTCCTTCTCTTTTAGATTACTAAAGAAAAACATAAAATTCTTGAAGAGTTCACAGTCTTCCCCCTTGTCATGTACTTTAGCAAACACCTAAAATTCTTTAACAGAATGATTAATTTATAATTAGTAAATGTTATCAATTCAATATCAACATTGATATTGATACTAAGAGACCAATTCTCACCTATGACACAGCAAAGTGAAAAAAAGTGACAACATAATCTATCAACTGAGGAAAACATCTGTTGATGTACTGTGAGGGAAAATACTTTCACACATTACTTACCAATTCTTGTAACCTAAGAAATCCTGGCAAAAGATTTGCTTCCATATCTCTTAGATATTCTGCTTTATCTAGAACCTCAAAAAAAAAAGCACTGTCAAAAATCAATTATGAATTAACTTTTAAAATGTTATTTACATTCTTAAAATAGACTTGTATCACATTTTAATATCTAAATAGAAAATTAATTATAGCTACATTAAAATTATTTAATACCAAAAAAAGATAATGGTATAAGGTGCTCTGAGGGCATTTTCTTAGATATATAATACAACCATGTGCATTTTTCATTACACTTGATAAAAGATAAATACCTACCATGAACCAAAAATTACACAACTCTATGACCCATGAAAAACAGAAATAGCTTTGAATTTCATCATACAAAACTTCTCTTGCTTGAACTTTGTAATAGCATGGTACAAAAGTTCTTCTTTACCTAACTAGATAACTGATCATGTTAAAAAAAGATTAAATTTTGTCCAGTGTTATGATAATGTTACTGTGACTTTTCAGAAGCATTTATCTTTTAGAGATACACAATGAGGCATTTATAAGTATCATGATACCATACAGGGGACAACAGGATGCGTACAGATTATACAAGTTTGGCCAAAGGCTAATAATTATTCAAACTGGGTGATGGTTCATCACACTATTCTCTTTTTTTTTTTTTTTTTTTAGTGGAGAGAGAGTGAGTTTTTTTTTTTTTTTAATATTTATTATTTTTTAGTTCTCGGCGGACACAACATCTTTGTTGGTATGTGGTGCTGAGGATCGAACCCAGGCCGCACGCATGCCAGGCGAGCGCGCTACCGCTTGAGCCACATCCCCAGCCCCACACTATTCTCTTGATTGTACCTAACTTCGATTTTGTTTCTTCTATACCCCCCTTTAAACTTCCCTTGCTGTATTATTTAAAACAAATCCCAGATACTGTATCATTCTATCCATAAATATCAGCATGCAGCTTTAAAATAAGGACTCTTTATGAAAACACAACCACAATATCAACATACATTGAAGAAATTTCCCCACTTGTCCCATAAACATTTTACTGTTAGCTTGTTTGATTCAATATCCAAAAAGGTCCACATGCTATATTTTATTACATTTGGATTATTTGTCTTCAAAGTATCCTCTGTGTAGTTAACTGTCTACTTTTGCTTTATTCCTAGACTTATGATTGTATTCTAGGCCTTCTCAGATAATCTAGGTACATCTGTCCATCTCAAGACCCTTCACTCAATTGCATGTGAAAAAAGATACTTTTTCAAAATAAGATAGCATTTACAGGGTCCTGAGATTAGGAGCTGATACCTCCAGGGACTATTATTGGGTCTACTATAGTGTCCCACTAAGTTAAACTCCCAATGTAACCAATGAGTTGGACTTTTGTGCTTTATATGTATTTGTTTAGTGTCACTATGAGTTTATAGTTTAAGATACTTACATATTTCCACCCATTAATTCATTATATTTTTGTCCAATTTTTTGCCAGCAAGCTCCCTTTCAAATTGGCTTTTGTGTCTTTCTTTAAATGACCCTAATAGTCATTGATCGTTCCTAGATTTCTAGAATGGTAAAAAGTCCTAGGAACACCTTGCGCATTTTCTGTCCAGAACTAAAATCATTCTTTCTCCAAAGAAACCTATTTTTATTTCCTAAACATTTACATTTCATTAATAAACCTTATTGTAAATTATAATCATAAAATTAGGAATAAGATTAAGATGCAGGAAATACAAGTTTCCCCAAATAATCCAAGTTGTTTATATCTATTTTATTTAATAGATTGAAACAATGTGTGAAGGAATCAATGTGTGAAAATGATCATACTTAAAATGTTTTATTTCTGGGCTGGTATTATAGCTCAGTGGTACAGTGCTTGCCTAGCGCATGTTACTAACTGGGTTCAATCCTCAGCACATTAAAAATAATAATAATAAATACATAAAATAAAGTTAAAAAATGTTTTATTCCTAATTTGTTTGGATAAGATAAAGCTAAAATCATTTATTGCTATAAAGATACAGTTTCTCCACCATACATTCCCATAATGAAAAATTTCCATTAATCTCCATTTAAATAAATGAAGAACACAAATTAATTCAAATAAATTGGTCAATCTTTATGCTTATTTTAATGAAAAACACAAAGCTTAACCAGTAAATAGTTCTTCTGATTTGACAATAATTAACCAGTGTACTTAATAATTTTGATATTCTAATTAATAGTCCTTTTTCAAAAGCCATTATCAAATAACTAATATTCAGAAGTAAAAATATAACTTAGATCCAAATATTTTCCTTCATAATTTACACAGAATCATTCTACTAGATTCTTGATTTGTAAGCTAGTTTACTGACTAGAAAAAAATTCTTAGCAGCTTTTCTATATTACTTCCTCAGTACTGAAGCTTACATTCATATATCGGACAGCTTAGCAATCTATAAGGTTACTCTAAAAAATATTCTATATTAAACACCTGTACATCTTTCTATCCCTAGGCAGCTAACAACTAACTTACTGAAAAGTACTTTGATCTACTAGGTCTAAAAAATGGTCTAAAAAATAAGTCAGGCCCATAACTTATTCCTCGTGGTTATTTCTAAATCATTGACTCTCCCTCCTTAATAAAGTCACTCGTTTTTGAAATTCTATTTTTTGGGGTCAGCCACGTATTCTGGTATCATTCCTTTTTGTTCCTTAAGGATTATAGTTTTTGATTACCATTTCTCTAAGACAACTTCTATGTTTTGAATAGCTGACCCTCTATGGATACACTGGATTCTTAGTTCCTTACCTTATGAAACTACTGTCATAATACTAAAATATTTTTTGCTTTTTTCACCATGTTAACATTTGCACTAATGGTGCAAAAAACAATGGTGGTTTAAACTATTTTCATCTTAGCATAAATCAACAGAAAGGCTGCAAGCTGCCTTATATTCTGCAAGCTTATATTCTGCCTTATATTCTGCAAGCTGCCTTAATCATTATATTCTTCACTATGCTCTTTTGAGAAGATATAAAAGATGAGCTTTTTCCTAATCCTTCTGCTACATAAAGCCAAGAACCCTGAATATTATAAATAAAACAAAGCTCTGAAAAGTGGAAAGCAGAAGGCAGAATGGCTAGGGACCTTGGGCGCAGAAGAATGACTTCAATGTTTGCATCACCTGGTCATTTTGCTTCACATATCCCAGAAGTGGAGTTAAAGAAGCCAGCAATACACAAAGACCATTAGGTGTAGACCAAAAAGCCCCAACAGAAAACTACTCTCTCTAGATGAAAACCCATGAAAGGGACAACCCAGCAAGACTTCCAAGACACCACACTCCCAAGTTGTCTTTGCATTGCTGATTTCCTCTCAGTGTCCTTGTTTGTTTTTCCTCATCCCCTAGTCTCAGTCATTGGACTCATTTCTTTCAAAATTCAGCCTCTCTTGCTAATCTAATCCAGTCTCAAAGATTTATATACAATTTACATGTTCACTGCTTCTAAATAATTTCCCCACACTGGACCTCTCTTGAACTCCAGATTCACATGTGCAACTACAATATCTTCCACTTGGACTTAATAGTCCACATTAAATTCCTGATCACTCCTTCCTTCCTAGCAATGCACACCTATTGTAGTATTAATTCAGATAATGATTACGCCAGCTTTTTAGGTGCTCAAGTACTTTTTTTAATACCAGGATTGAACCCAGTGGTGCTTAACCATTGAGCCACATTCCTAGCCCTTTTGTATTTTGAGAGAGGATCTTGCTAAGTTGCTTAGGATCTTGCTAAATTGCTGATGCTGACTTTGAGCTTTGTGAGCCTCCTGCCTTAGCCTCCTGAGTCACTGAGATTACAGGTGTGCACCACTGTGCCTGACAACTCAAATACTTTGAGTCACCTTTGACTTCTTTCTTTTTTTTCTCCCCCTCTCCCTTCATTAATACATCAGGAAATTCTGTCAACCCACCTTTCATATCCATCCAGACCATTTTTAACCACCTGCACTGCTACTAACAGGTCCTAGTCAACACAACGTTTTGCCTAGAATATTACAGAAGTCTCGAAGCAAGTTCTATTAATTTCCTAGGGCTGTCTGAGGGGTAAATAAATAAATAAATAACTTTCTTCACTCTCGTAAAACTTCCAAATGTGTGGGTTTTTCAGTTCTCTGTGGACATCAACTGGGTATCCTACAATTGGATTCAATTCTGACACTATCTACCTGGAGTTAGAATCAGATTCCACAAGTTAAGGGAGAGTTCCCCGCAACCTTGAGTTTGATAATTTGCTTGAACACCTCACAAAATGCAGGGAAACATTTTTTTAGATATCTACCTGTTTATTAAAAGGGATACCACTCAAGGATAGCCTATTTGAAGGTTCCATAGCACAAAGTATGGGAGAGGGGAACAGCACTTCCATGCCTTTTTCAGGTACACCAACCTTCTAGTACCTCTAAGTATTCAGCAACCTGAAAGCTTTCTGAACTCCTCACTTTGGGGGATTTTTATGGAGGCTTCATTATGTATGTACAAGTGATTAAACAATAGGCCAAAAGTGCTTGCCTAGCATGAGAGGCACTGGGTTCGATCCTTAGCACCACATAAAAATAAACAAATAATTTAATAAAGACATGCTGTCTACCCACAACTACAAAAATTAAAAAAACAAAAACAAAAACGATAGGTCACCAGTGAATTAATCAATCTCTAGTCCTTCCTCCCTCCCAATAGGTCAGGTTGTGGGCCTGAAAGTTCCAACCTACATGATTAATTTCCCTAATAACCAGTCTTCATCATGAGGTACAGCCACCAGACAACTCATTAGTTAAAAAACAAAAATTAAAACAAAACAAAAAAAAACATATCACTTTGAGATGTCAAGGATTTTAGGAGTATGTCAGGAAATGGAAAGAATACCAAATATATATTTCTTATTACATCATAATCAAAGGCTACCATAATAATGAAAGGGTAAAGTTTCTAAGCTGCAAAGCCTGAGTTAAAATGTAAAGGACCAGGCATTGTAAACCTGCTTCTAAACTGCAAAGCCTGGGTTAGATTCCTGAGGCAGTTAAGACAATGCCCTACTGGCCATTTAGTTGATTTATAGCCTAGGACCTTGTGTAGCTTGTCACGTAAGCATTCAAGACCCTGTGCAGCTTGTCACGTAAGCATACAGGGCGCGAACTAATCAGTTTGAATGTGTACCCCGCTTAGGAGTGACCAATCACCCCCACCCGACCTGTTCCCGCCAATGAATATACTAATCAAGTTTAAGAATTGTTTGATTTTCCCGCGCCTCATGATGATTTGTCCTGATGTATGCAAAGCCTCCACCCTCCCCAAAAAGTGTACTTAAGTACTGCTTAACCTCTGCTCTGGGCTCTGGGCTGCTCTCCCTTCTTGAGCCTGGAGCCTCAGAGTGCTGAATTGGATCCTCAATAAATCCCCTTCTGCAATTGCATGAGTCAGTCTCTTGGTGTTCTCTTCCTCTGACTTTTCGCCAGACCCTTACAATAAAGCACCACAAATAGGTGGCTGAAGCCTACACTTACTGTCTAAAATAGAAGTATTGAAAGCACCTTATTTCCTCTGAAGGTGCTGCAGAGAGATCTATTTCAGACTTCTCTTCTAATTGCTGGTAGTTCTTTGACTTGTGGCAGCACAACTCCTATCTTTACATGGCATACTGCCTATGTGTGTCCATCTCCAAATTTCCTCCTTTTGCAAATCATATTAGATGAGGGGCCTATCCTTCTCCAGTGTGACTTCATTTAACAGAGTAGAATGGCAATTACCTTATTTTCAAATAAGATCACATTCTAAAGTAACAGGCACTCAAAGTTCAACATATGAATTTTGGGAGAAAACAATTCAATCCACAATTCTAGCATGTTTGCCTTTACCTTTGCACCCTTCAGTTGATTCTCAATACTACCTCTCCCCACCCTATTTACAGTATTCCAACCACAAAGGCATCCTTGGCTTGCCCCAATTTCCTTTGCACTTTCATTTAATCTCTTTCCCTAGAATACTCTTTTTACAAATGTTTGTTCATTGCTTGCTTCAAACTTCTTTTACATTTTACTCAGGTATCATAATCTCAGTAAGATGTCCCCTATTTAGGAAGACAACTATTGTACTGTCCCCTATCTCCCTTGGTTCTCTTCTTCAATGTCATGAATGCATTATACCTGACATACTGTATGTTAACTTGTTTATTATCTTTCTCAACTAGAAGAGGGAAAAATAAGGTCTGTTCTATCTCTAATAACTAGAATAGTGTCCCTAGTAATAGAGTCCTCAATATTTTGCTGAATATATAAATGAACAAAACTAAAATGTAGAAGAAAATATATAAAAATATTCTATATATTTTAGGAGATGCAAGGATGCTTAAAATTTGGTCACTTCTGTGAATTTACAATTTAGTTGTTATGATATTAAAGTTTAATTCCAAATCCAGTGATAATTATTCCTCTTAAAAAGATTAGAGGGGTGGGCTGGGGTTATAGCTTAGTGGTAGAGTGCTGGATAGCACATGTGAAGCACTGGGTTCAATCCTCAGCACCTCACAAAAATAAAGAAGTAAATAAAAAATAAAGGTTAAAAAAAAGAGTATTTTGAAAAATTCACTAATGTAAAACACATTACAATAGTCTACCTTATCTGTAGATTTGCTTTCCATGGTTTCAGTTACTTATGATCAACCACAGTCCAAAATTATTAAATGGAAAATTCCAGAAATAATTCATAAGTTTTAAATGGCATGCCATTCTAACTAGCTGATGAAATTTCTCCGATGCCCCACTATCCTAGCAGGGATGTGAATCATCCTTTTAGCAAGTGGATCCATATTACCTCCACCTGCTAGTCATTTAATAGCTATCTCAGTTATTAGACTGATTAATGTCAAAATACTTGTGTTCAAAACCATTCTTATTGTACTTAGCGATTATTCAAAAGTGCAAAAGTATTGATGCTGGCAATTTGTATGAGACCAAGAAAAGCTTTATTGAAAGTAGGGTTTTGGGAATGTATACATACACCACAGATGGGGGACTACTGTACATATTTTCAATTGTCTGTTGGTCATTTTCACATTGACGTAATAACAATTCAAACTTAGATCACCTTAAAATCAAACAATTTGCTTTTCACCCCAAACCTAACCCATACACAAGTGACAAGTCTAACCTTTTCTGTCTTTTTCCATTTATTTCATTTTTCAACTTTTGCCCCAACTCTAGCATAGGCCCAAATTTCCTCTCATATCCATAGTCTTAATAGCCTCAAAACCATTCTTCTAGCATTCAAATTTTTCATCCTTCTCCAATTCATATTTAACACATGTTCAGAGTAATCTTCCTAAGCCATATTTGTTACTCTTAAAACCTTCACTCTTGCCCTTTCACTGCCTAAGAAATGAAATAAAGTGCTTTTGTATAGTTTTCAAGACCCTTCATTATTTGATGCCACCTATCATTCTAGACTTCACTTTCTCTTTTCAAGCTTTGTAGCACACTACAACTAGACTATGTGGCATTCCCTGGAATCCATTCCATGCCTTTGGTTACACAATTCCCTCCATCTGAAGTTTTTCTTCTTTAGTTTCTTCCTAAATTACCCTAATTATTCTATTAGTGCTTGAAATGCTACCACCTCAAGAAGCATACCAGAGGGATTTAGTCAGTACTAGGCAGTGATTATCACTTATCACATTCTGCATGCAGTCAGTCATATGTGAATATTAATTTTAATTCTTCTGATAAACAAAGTTCCTTTTAGATAAAGAATAGTAGCAACATTTTTGTATCTCCAAAGCACCTTGTATAGTAGCTATTGGGGAACTGATCTAATAAACAGTTTTCACATAAGAGATGACATAATCAAATTACTTACAACGTATACAGTTTGATCCTTGAGACTTTCAGCTTTGGTTACTTGTTTAAACAAGCGAACAAAGTCATTAAATGTTTCACAGGTTATTTCAGTAGAACATCCCTCCTCTGAAGAACTAAGATGACTCAACTTGTTTAAAATCTTTTCCAAAAGTAGCCTCAAGGTAAAGCATTCGACACAATTCACAAAGACATGCGGGAGCTGAAAAGGAAAACCAAAAAGTATAAAGAAAATGTAAATGCAATATACATTTGTCTTTCTATTGGGGGGGGGGGTAGCAGGGATTGAACTTAGGGACAACTCAACCACTGAGACACATCTCCAGCCCTATTTTGTTTTATTTAAAGACAAGGTCTCACTAAGTTGTTTAGTGTCTCACTGTTACTGAGGCTGGCTTTGAACCAGCAGTCCTCCTATCTCAGCCTCTCAAGCTGCTGGGATTGCAGGCGTGAGCCACCACACCTGGCTCCCTTTCTAAATCTATGCACTACCATTCTCCAAGTTTCCCTGTGCCCCAGGAACCTGACCACTATAGACTAAATCTCCCAGATTCTTTTATTTTCTAGCTGTTTAGAGAAACCAATGGGAAAAAGCATCAGGAGACTGAAGAAGAGTAGTAGGAGCTACTCTTATTCCCGTGAACCTCCTCCCCACATCCAGTGACCCAGTCTGGCTACATTCTTCTATCAAATAGCAAATGCCAATTGAGCAGCCCATCTTCTTTCTAAGGCTACAATTCTTGCTGGATTCTTATAACAGGTCCTATCTAGAGTCCCTTCAAGTCTAGGGTTAGTAAAGGCCCTGGAGCATCACTATTCCTCTTGGCTCCCTTAAAAACTCTCAACTTTTAGAAAACAGTGTCTTCATTAAACTTACTTTGATTTTTTCTTTTGAGCTTGCCATTTGTTTTCTACAAGGATTCAAAGCAAACTTGTAGTTTTTTCTAAACAATTATTTTTTTAACTTTATTTATTTTTTTTATGCTGCTGAGATCAAAACTAGTGCCTCACATTGCTAGGCACCTTACCACTGAGCTACAACCCCAGCCCCTCCTCTGAACAATTCTTATAAAGAAACCCGAGTACATTTGAATGCTAAAATTCTTAGAGGGAATTTCATATTTATAATTTAAAGAAAATATATTTCATGATGAAAGAACTCAGGTTAAAAAAAGAATTTTAAGAGTTAGAAACCAAAATAATCTCCCAATGAGAATTATAAGAACTTGATGTATGTTTAAACTATCAAAATGAGGTAATTCCACAAGTAATAAGGAAATATAATCTGTTCTTAAAATGAAATCACAAAAGCAATACTGATCATTCAGAGGAAGGTAATTTGTGGCATTTGGCACAAAGAACGAAAGCTGTAACTATGTTTAGTGACATTCTTTAAACCTCATTACCAATAAGGAGGCTTTTTTCCTCTCTGTGTAAAAGGCTACTTAATATTTATCTTGGGCAGTTGTATAAACATTTGCTAACCCCTTTCAAGCTCATTCCCTTATGTATAAGAGTTACAATGTCTCTAATTTAGGTTTCTTGCTTAGCTGCATTTGTGCTTTCTAAGACCTTTCATAGCAACCTATTCTAAGTACATACTTCTGTACCTATTCCTGAAGCAGTGAGAATCAAAAGAGATTAAACTGATTAAGTAGGAGCAAAAATTACAGTGTTAAAAAATGGAATTCAGGGCTGGGGTTGTGGCTGTTGTAGAGCACTTGCTTAGAATGTGTGAGGCATTGGGTTTGATTCTCAGCACCACATATAAATAAATAAAATAAAGGTCCATTGACAATTAAAAAAAAATGAAATACATCTTAAATATGAAACTTCCTTATTTGACTTTCAAGCTTTTTATTCAACATGTATTTTCTGGACACTTCATACACAGGTTCTTAAATGCAAATGTCTCAGTCAGGACCTTGTACACTTGGATTCTAAAGTTGGCAAGTTGAGTATGGAGCCTAACAGTTGTGTTTTAAAAATGCACAGAAGATCTTTGGGATCAAAGGCTAAAGACCACAAGCTGAAATGTGCCAAGCACTGTTTGGTGCTTGGGAATGAGCTCAAGAAACTCAGTCTAAAGCCAAGAAAAAACAACACAAAAATCACAGCTGAGGTGTGTAAATATTACCACAGAATTTAGAGCATTGAGGCTGCATCCTCAAAGGTAGAGTAGGATTGAGGTTAGCAAACCAAAGCCTGAGGGCTGGCCACATGTTTTTGTATATATAGTTGCTGTGAAACATAGCTATGTCCATTAGATAGGTACTGCCCATCCCCAGCTTAGGATATGAAAGAGGGTGTGGCAATACTCATAAATAATAGCAGCTACCCTTTACCAGTTTTACTATACACTAACTACTGTGGCAAGCATTTTTCATGTATTAACATTTAGTTCTCATAATAATCCCAAAGGTTGTCACAATTTTTCCTAGTTTGCAGATGGGGAAGGCACTAAGTGGTGAGTTCACATGAGCAACACAAGTCTGCCAGATTCTAAACCCCAAGGTCTTAACCATTATACTATGAAAGAAGCAGATTTTAATATTTGTAAAAGAACTTACTGATATGTCTGTATTTCCCCAATATCAGCCAAAGAAAGAGAGAAGAAAATCTGTCTCAACTTAAAGATTCAACTTATCTAGAAATTAAGGAATTTTGAAGTTTACACTAATCGAGGGTATTCAAACAAAACTTGGACAGAAATGTTTTATGCAGAAGACATTCCTTCAGAGAAAGGTAAACTGGACTAAATAATCTCTCAGATCCCTTCCATTTTTAGGAGTCTATAAGTAAAAAATCAACATCGACTTTAGGGTTACTCTTACCTCTAATGTTTTCAACAAAGTTTGCGTTACATAGGTCTTTCCACTGGCAGTATGTCCATAAATAAAAATGGATGGAAAGCTGAAATGATGTCTCTAGGAAAGATAAGACAAATATTAGCCTACACATACACAGAAAGTGAACATTTATCAATTTATGAAAAGGTTTTATGTGGCATAGTAAAATACTCAGTCCAAATTACTTTAATAGTGAACATACAGTAGATTCATCCTCTCATTTTAAACTTAAATTCAACTCTCAGTATTTCTTCTGTTATAAAATTATTTGTAAAATTATATTTGGCATATTTTCTTACATGCTATACATTATATGCTTATGCTTTTGTTATTGTACAAGTTTACAATATACACTCTGGTATTCTCAACTTTCTAAGAGGCTTAAGGGACTATTACAAGGATAATTTTGTCTGTGCTCCATTTTAATCTTAATCCTTTTAAGCAATCTAATGCCCTTGAAAGCTTCAACTTCACTGTACGTTTTAATGTTTGAAAAGAAGCATAGATAACCACTGGGTTGGAATACATTTCAAAAGTTATCATTCTTAGGAAAACATATAGACTACTTCTGAGTTATGCATACTCACTGACTCTAGCATGAGTGTATACATTTCATCTAGTCAAACATTCATAAAATCTGTATAGTATATATTTCAAAATACATTTTGGGACTAGGGGAGTAGGTTCAGTGGTAAGCACTTGCATAACATGTGTAAGGCCCTGGATTTGATCCCCAGCACTTCAAAAAAAAAAAAAATAATTAATTAAATTGCAAGATCCTCCTGCAGTACATTAAGTTAGCAGCCTACAAAAAATAAAAATGATCAAAGGCCACTTTATTGGTCTAAACAATACTACAAACATACTTCATTCATTCAATGAACATTTATGAGATAATTACCAAATGCTGAAAACCATAACACATTGAAAATTGCAAGCATCAGTAAAATGCAACATCTACTTTAAAAGTTTTTATAGTCTAGTGGGTAGATATATATTTTAAAAATAATTACAAGAAAATTGGATGATGCAACTTTCATAAGAAAGTTGAATCTTGATCATTTCTATCTAGTAGATGATATGACTACTAGTTGCAAACACTTATTACATTCTAATCACTAAGTTAAACATTACCTTTTACAAGACAATTTAAGAACTCAGATTTATACCAAAAAAAAAAAGCACTTTCTATACGGCATATACCTATGATAAAAGCAGATTAACTGATAAACTCAGACTTAAAAGTTACAAAATGCATTTCTAAATATACGAATCCTTAAGTTTGTTTGTAATAATCTCTTAAGTTAACTGGCTCAAAAATTAAATGCATATTACTGAGCACCTCCGCTATCCAAATAATATATATCACCTTTAAAAAAGAAGCTCAAGACCATGCTTTAGGAGTTTTCCCCAAGCTACGCTAAATCTCATTTTCTGGAATCCTACCACACTTGTCTACATCCACTATTAAATGCCTAGTAAAATCCCACCTTATAACATCTTTTTCTATTATTATCCAGAATTATAGCAAACTTTTACATGGTTACTTAACATTTCACCTTTCTAAACCTGCCTAATAACTGTAATAAGCCAGAATCTGGCATAGTGCTTGGCTCAGTAAATATTAACTGAATCAATAAATGAATTCTGTTAAGAAACATAAACTGATTGTTGTTGTTGTTGTAGTTCTTTGTTACAGCAGTTCTTTGGATTTCTCACGTGAACAGTACCTTGTAGAAAAGTAATGGTTAAACATGATCTGTTAACAGCAAAAATCAAAACCCTTTCTATAATCCATTACTAAATCAATACTACTAATCACTATTTGCCAATATTATTTTTCAGGGGAAGCACTCTTGGTTGCAGTGATCTGGGTTTTATCATATCCAGAGAAGGAATCAGCAAAAAATGTTTCAGTAATAACATGGATAAGTACAAATGAAAGCATTACAACTAGAAAATTGCCTAAGAATGTAGTTGTAGACCTCTCACTTCCCTAATTAACAGTGCCCCTTTAGATAGAGGGTGGGACTTTTCCACTAACACTTCACAGGCCTCTTCTGGCATCGAACATTTCTAGGTGGATCAAAGTATATTTTAAAAAGCAAACTAAAATATGGTTACTTTTATTGACTCTCTTCACAGATAAGGTCCAAGTCTGATTAATTCTAAGCCTAATTAGTGAGTTTGAAGCAAAAGGCACACAGAAAACAATAAAAACAGATTAAGTTGTTAATTGGTTAATGCTACCTCCTGCCTATGGAAAGGACTCTTTAGCTGTGTTCATCCAGAAAACCACCTCTCCTCTAGCGTTATTAGACAAGGAGAGAAGCCTAGGGTAGACCCCTTCAGCTTTTACAATTCTGGAAAAGCTGCTGAATTTTTAAGCCTGATGCACTGCTTTGGCCCTTGATGGCTTTGAAAACCACCACTGTCTACACTTGACTTAAACAAACTACTTCACTTAAACCTGTGAAAATATATTTCAATAGTATTCTGCAAACTCATCTGTCATACAAGGTTCTGTTCTGCTGGGGTAAGATCACACGCAACTTCTAGTAGCTACTTCGAGCTAACATCATCTAAAAAGCATGGCATGTGTAAAAAAGAACATTTACTGGCCAACCTCCTTTAACACAGGCCGACCCTCCCTCTGCAGGATTCTCTGACAGGGATTAATGACAAGATACTTTGGGTGAAAGTGCAAGACACATCTACAACGCTTCCTATCGCAACATACGAGACGGTCAATAACCCCTGAAACACCATTCCCCACCCCCCACCGCCCACCCCGCACCCCGCCATCCCTCACTCCGCCAAAAAACAGGAACGAGTGGCAAGACCAGGTAAATGTTTTGCCTAAGGAGTTATTCAACAGTTTCACCACAATACCTCTCCAAACAGGGACTGCAAGGTGGAGACTTGGGACTCGCGACAAAGGACCATATTCTCTAAGTGAGGCATTTTGGCGGGTACCACCGCAAAGGGCAGCTCAGGTATCACCGACAACAGCTTCCCTTCCGCCTGGTGGTCCAGGCTCCCGCCGGAAACCGGACCGCCGCGCTGTGGGCGGGATCGGCGCGGCCAGGCGTCGGCGTGACGTCAACGCGCACGCGAGGCGTTTCCACCGCTCTAGTCTTTCACGCTGAAGCCGCCTACCTCTCGTTTGTCTTTTGCCTCTGGGGGTTATGGGGGAGGTTGCTGTGTGATGACTCTCTTGGGACGCAGCGCTTTCCACCCAAGAGAAGTGTAGATAGGGATGGGTGGAGAAGGAGTGGAAAAAGCTAAGAGGTCCTATGGGATCCCCATGACTCGCTAACCCACAGCTTCAGTATTCCCGCCTGGAACCCCAAATTTGAAAGTCTTGAGCACCGGGAAACACGGGTTCTCGCCTTATTGGGACCTGTGGAAGGCGGACTCCGATATCCAGCATTCTCAAAAAATGAGGCATTTCTCTGACGAAAAGGTTACAAATTCGTGGTGTCCAGTGCAAAAGAGCGAAACAGAATTTAATAAACTTGGAATGACTATTCTGCGTGCAAGCCTAAAACCAGACTCGGATGTGCCTCTCCTAAGGAGAGGAGTTTCAGGTGCTTGTGTAGAAATAATAATTCTGTCTTTAACATAAGATTTTCATGTTACTTATTCATGAAACACCCACTAGAAACCAGACGCTAAAAGATTCTAGAAATACAAGATAGAAACTGCGTGCTAAAAGGAAGCCTTTGGGTTCTCAGAATTCTGGTTTGAAACCAATCACAACTACTTCTGGACCGGGAGACCTTGGAAGAAAGGTTGAACAGTTCATTTTGAACTTCTTTACTTGTAAAATAGGGATGATGATAATAATTGGTTGTTGCTTGGAGTAAAAGATATTATATTATATATGATACCTGCCACACATAGATTTTATAACCAGTGCAGTAAGGCATGAAAAAGAAATGCATCCAGATTGGAAATAAAGAAGTAAACTGAATTTATTAATGGACAATACAATTATCTATTTAGAAAGTTGATGAATTCTACAAAATTTACCAGGACTCATAAGTTCTTTGCAAGGCTTTAAAATGCAAGGTCAATATAGGAAAGAAATCAACTGAATTTCTATATACTAGCAATAGATATTTAGGAATTGGAACTTAAAATATCAATATAATCTTAATAGAATAAAAATTACAGGGAGGGGGGATAGTAGAGGATAGGAAAGGTAGCAGAATACAACAGTTACTAATATGGCATTATGTAAAAATGTGGATGTGTAACCGATGTGATTCTGCAATCTGTATTTGGGGTAAAAATGGGAGTTCATAACCCACTTGAATCTAATGTATGAAATATGATATGTCAAGAGCTTTGTAATGTTTGGAACAACCAATAAAAAAATAAAAATAAAAAAGAACAAAAATTACAAAATACTTAGGAATAAATTTGACAAAAGATGTAAAAGCTGCACACTAAAAACTACAAAATAAAATTACTGAAAGAAATTAGATATTTTAAAAACAGATATATTATCTTTGTGAGTTAAAAAACTCAACAAATTCCCAATGAAAATCTTAGCATGCTTTTTTAAAGGGGATAGATATTAATTTAAAATATGTTTGGGGGTGGGTTGTAGCTCAGCAGTAGAGCACTCACCTAGCGCATTTGAGGCCCTGGGTTACATCCTCAGCACCACATAAAAATAAAAAATAGAGGTATTGACAACTACAACTAAAAAATACTTTTAAAAAATAAAATATGTTAATATTTGAACAGATACTTAATGACAAGGTACACCAAACACAATGAAGTGCATGAAAAGTTATTTAACATCTTTTTTATTAGGAAAATTCATAACAAAATGAACACATCTCTTAATGTAAAACTCGAAAAATTGGTCTCTCCAGGAATTGGCCAGAATATAGAGCAGCTGCAACTTTCACATATCATTGGTAAATTCCAAATGGTACAACTACAGTTAGAAAACTGTGGCAGTTTCTTAAAACTTAAGTACTTGACACCTAGAATATGACTCAGCCAGTCCACTCTGAGATGCTTAACAAATGTCCACTCTGAGATGCTTAACATTTAAGAAAATGTTACATGTTTATAAAAAGACTTGACACTGCTGTCCATAGTAGTTTCATTTGAAATAGCCCAAATCTGGAAACCCAAATTCCATCAAGAAGTAAATGGATAAATTATGGTATATTTGTGCATTCAAATACTTTTCAGCAATAATAAGGAATGAATCAAAGTAACAACATGAATTAATCTCACAAATAATTATGCTACGTGAAAAAAAAACAGATCCCTCTCTTCCCAAAAGAGAATACTGTTGTCACTCCATATCTGTGGGCTCCACATTTGTGCATTCCATCAACCTTGGACAAAAAAATATTTGGAGGGGGCTGGGGGACAGCTCAATAGTTACAGCATGCATGAAGCCCTGGGTTTAATCCCTTGAACCCCATGTAAAAATTCTGTACTAAACAAACATATACTTTTTTCCTTGTCATTATTTCCTAAACAATATAGTACAACAACTAGTTATGTACCATTTGTATTAAATTGGATAGTATAAGTAATCTAGAGATAATTTAAAGTATACAAAAGGGTATGTGTAGGTTATATGCAAATATTATGCCATTTTATATAAGGGCCATGAGTCCACAGAATTGGGCATCTGTGATTTTGGGTGGAGGGATATTCTGGAACCAGTCCTCACAGATATTAAAAGATGACTATATGTTGTATGTTTACATTTTTAAAAAATTCTAGAAAACTATAATTAAAGCAAATGTTGGTTGTCTTGTGATGGGGAAGTGGGAAGTCAGAAAGGAATATAATGAAGTCAGAAAAGAATATAATGAAGCCTAAGGACATTTGAGGAAATGGTGGATATTATAGGAAATAGGGTCTTTGCAAACTTTTGACCAGATTATTAGTATGAGCCTTATACTAATATTAATATTTTAAGAGGCCTTGTCAATACATAGACAAAAGGTGAATGCCAAGTGAAGATGTAGGTGGAGTTTGCAGGATACATTTACAGGCAAAGGAATGCCAATCAATTCAGGTCCTCACCAGAAGTTAATTCAGAAGCTCAGAGCAGGTACTCCCTCAGTCCCTCAAAAGAAATTAATGTTGCTGACACTCCTGATTTTGGACTTCTAGCCCCTACAGCTGTTGAAAATAAATTTCTGTTGTTCTAAGCCATCCAGTTTGTGGGACTCTCTTATAGTAGCCTTAGGAATCTAAAATAATGGATATATTAAGTACCTTAATATTGTGATGGATTCATGGACATATACATATTTTAGAACATCAAACTTTTTAAAAAATTTATTCTGATTTGTTATACATGATGGCAGAATGCAATTTATTTCATATTACACATATAGAGTATAATTTTTCAAGACACTGATTGTACACAAAGTATTTTCACACCATTCATATCTTATACATGTACTTAGGATAATGATGTGTAACTCATCCCATCATTTCTCCACCCTTGCCTCCTCCTTTTCCATCCCCTCCCTTTGCTTTTATCTACAGTTCCTCCATTTCTCCCATGCTCCTCCCCTGCCAGTCGCCATTATGAGTCAGCATCTTCATATCAAAGAAAATATTTGTTTTATGGGGATTGGCTTCACTTAGCATTATATTCTCCAACTTCATCGATTTACCTGCAAGTGTCATGATTTTATTCCCTTTTTTTTAATTGGTTGTTCAAAACATTACA